TCCCACCAGAACCATGTAATCCGTAATACAGCCTGCAGATAATAGAGATGCCAGAATGGTAAATCGCTAAAATGCCGCCTTTGAAGGACATCATTAGCTACGCTGCTAAATTAGCACGCGTGTTAATTTACGCAACCCTCGTTTTTTTTTCCTCTTTTCTTGCAGTAAGCCTGGGTTTGGTAATACAACAAGAGGGAATGATTGTCTGATCCACATTAGCTGTCAGAGAGGTTTGTAGATACATAGCGGGGATTCTATGACCTATTTATTCTCCTATCAGATGGCAGCATTCAGCACGGCTCACACCGCACACATATTAGATTAGTGATACTCTTTAATGCCTGCCCTACAACTGACTGTTATCGCTGTCATTTGGGTTAAGATTAGATAAGTAAGTCGCTTTGGTAAGAAAGCATCTGCCAAGAACATATAAATAAAATAAAATGTGAGTAAAACACCTAGTCGGACAAAGTCAGCTTTTGTTCAGAAGACTTGCTTATGTCTGTACTGTGCTGTGTTCGTTTACTTTAGTGTTTTTCAATGACTGAACACTTTCTGTTGATGCTGAGGTACCCAACTACGGCCCCAAGTTTTGACGTCAGCAAATTGATGTTTCCGAAACTTTACAGGTTGTGTAACTACAACTAGCATCAAGAGGCACACCATTGATTGACCCTTGAGCAGGGGTGTACAATCCTGCTCCTGGATTGCCACTGTCCTGTCTGTCTTAAGCCAAATTCCAATTTTATTTTATACTCCTATGCCTAGCCCCATGCCTTCCCCTTGAAACAGAACGTAAAGATTTAGGGATGAAAATATTCCCCAAGAAATGGGACATCGCTACTACAGTACACATGCACACATCATCATATGTCGTCACTTGCTCATACATCATACAATATCTGCAGTAGTCATTTCAGAAAGTGTAAGCATATTTAACAGATTATTTGGACTTTGTTTTCAGCAAGAAAGTGTATGAGCCTTCAGGTTTCCTCAAATGTCCCTGTAACGACTAGTGGGTCGTGTTGCAAGATGCACATAACTGTACTTCGTATATACAAGTGCTTGTATTCATGGATTTAACCACAATAAATCAACATTAGTTTTACACCAGACATTAATGTGCTGTAAAAAGCTAGTTCCTTGCCACCAGACATTTCTGACAGACTGGCCTACTCTGTCAAGTCATTGAGTAATGTTAGCATAATTTTAAATGTGTTGTGGAATAATTTATAGCAGTTATTATAAAGGACCATCATTAGTGAAATTTGGTAATATTGTTGTTAATGTTTATTTGAAGATCATGATCGTGACACATTGACATCATTATGAATGTAAAAAAGCATGTTTTTTGTTCGATTTGTGGGTCTCCTTGCTCACTTTTGCAACCATGCTGTTTTTGTATTCAAGAAAATTTACCACACTGCTTTGTTTGTAGTGTGTTTCAGAAAAAAAAAATAATTTGAAAGGCTATAAAACAGTTTCCCTTACCCCTACACCTCCAAGTTAAAGGGGATAGGGATACCCATGCCCCTTCAGGTGAACACATGAAGCGAAGAGTAGAAGTAGAAGGGGTGAAAGGTAGAATTGGGATTGGGCCTTGTGCTGGACCATAATTATGCCTGAACCAGCTAATCAAGCTCTTACTTGGCTTATTGGAACTTTTAGACAGGTGCATTGGGGCAAGTCAGAGATAACTCTGCAGGACAGTGGCCCTCCAGGACTGAGTTTGGACACACCTGTTATACAGTCTATGTCCTTTAGAATCTTTATTAACAAGCCTGCTTAATTCAGTATGTTGGAAACTCCAGTAAGAATCCCACTTGGAGTAATGTGAATAGAACCAAAGGGGTTAAATTGGTGCCACAATAAGAATGGGAGTGAAGTGTAAGAGCATGAGGTTAAAAAAGGCCAGCTAATAAGAATTGATTCATTCCTTTACCTACAGTTAGGTTAGTTTTGATTACCCCAACAATACAACTTACAATTATAGCAAAGCAGCTACAAGTAAAATAGTTGCCTGGGTAATGTGACAGTTTAGCATTGGGCTAACTTTCTTTAGCTTTCCATTGCTGCCTGTGTACACTGAAAATGAATCACAGAGCATGGCTCAAATAAGGATTTACATCAAACATTTGTAAACAAATCAATTAAAAGACATATATTATAATTTGCAGGAGCCATGTTTATTAATAACAGCAAAATCTGACCTTGGACAAATCAATGTGATCATTTCACCACCTGTGTGATGTCATTTGTCTTATTTGGGACTGGCTACAATGGATCATTTCTACCATCATAATGTGCATAATGTGGTAGCTCAGTTCAGATTGCAATAGTTACCTTCACATCCCATCTTATGAGACAGCGCTCATGGAAAAATGACAGAAAATAATAAGATGAAGGACAATTTTGGTTGCATCATCTTCTCAATCCAGTGATTGATTTTCTAAATCTCAATTGAGTTGTGCTGACCCAATGGGAACGTCTCTGGCTTAATCCAATCAGATGACGGAAAGGCATGCAGTTTAGCAGATCTGAATGGGAAGTGGATGTTTGCCAAAATGACACATAGTGCTCCCATTATGATAGTTTTCTCATTTCAAAGTACTAGAACCCAAAGGGACAAGTATGCATTAGCCCCTTTACAAGTCCAGGTGTTGATATGTAAACTAAACTCTTTGGTTACTTTGCAACTGACCATGTTGTCTCTCTTCCAGTGCACAGCGAGGATGTGGTCTCGACGCGGCTGTACTTTGTGAATGCTTCCCTGCAGAGAGTGACCTTCTCCAGCTCAGTGGGGGTGTCCCTGCCCTGTCCTGCGGGTGGCGCCCCCCATGCCGTCCTCCGCTGGTACCTGGCCACTGGCGACGACATCTACGACGTGCCACACATCCGCCACGTTCACGCCAACGGCACGCTGCAGCTCTACCCCTTCTCCCCCTCTGCCTTCAACAGCTTCATTCATGATAATGACTACTTCTGCACTGCCGAGAACCAGGCCGGCAAGATCCGCAGCCCTAGCATCCGTGTCAAAGCAGGTAAGATCTGATTCCATCCATTAGTTTTGTCTATGCATGTATTTACTTCATTTACATGTTGGTGTATTGATACTGAGTAAAGGTCAGGGATGGCAACACAAAGGTTGCTGTTGATTCCAAGTCTTGCCATGAGCAGGCAGGTTTGGGCCACACCTTTAGATCATTTGTTTTAAAAGTGTCTACTAAATGATAACTTGACATACATATGATAACAGTATGCTGTCAATAGTGTATTTACAGCACCTCTATTGGGTTTTATGCTTTAATTATGGATCCTATAATACATACCTACATTCCGGACACTTGCAGGGTGCAAGGGGTTTCTCAGACCATATTGCTTGCAGAAAAGAGCATAGTTAGTGTTGGTGCTGTGACAGAGGGGGGCATGTGACGTTAGAGGTGGAACATTAGTTCTTAAGCTTAACATCTGCAGTAACAGCAAAGGTAGCACCCACCATATTGCTAACCTAAATAAGAATGTAAGTGCCAAATGGATGTCCCAGTGGCCGGCCTGTTGACCTGGCTGCTTTAAAAAGCAGTGCACAGACGGGCGCACAACGCTACAGACAGTTGGCTGACTGACCCTCCCACTCGGTGCCAAGGTCACTGCTCGTGAGTGGAGCTGGATGCCCAGCAACAGCGAGGGATATCCATACACCTCCCTACATACAGACACGCACACACTCTTATGCCAGGCTGCGCAGTGCCAGTGTCCCTCCTGTCTCCCAGTCTCCATCTGTCCTCTAAGCTAGAGTTCCCATCTCTCACACACATACACACTCACCTACTCTGAATTTCCAAGAAATAACCCCAGTGATGGTGATCTCACACATTTATATGTAATATAACTTAAAAATTCTTTAAAACAGCCACATATTCTTAAGGATTACAAGGTACAAATTTGGTTCCTCAAAAAACCTTTTAGTGAACATTTCTTAAAAGGCACACATTTTAATATACACTTATTTCTAGTTTAAACAAGCACAAATAATATGAAACCATAAATGCAAATAAGGAACCTCTGTAATAAGAATGCAGGCAAATTTGGTCCACACAACTTTTTTTTTCCACCTTAGCTGCATTAACATTAAAGTCTCAGAGGATGGAATGAAATTACCTACCAACCGGCGACAAGACGGGGTGACTTTCGCCTCAAATAATTACACTAATTAATCAATTAAGTGCTGAGATGCAGCAAAAACTGCTAGTGGACCTAGCAACCCACACAGAGCCCTAAGGAACCCAACACTGGGGCTCCCTCACCAGCCAATCAGATGCTGGCACTGAAAGGTTACCATGGGTACGGTGAGGGGAGGGGCAGGGTGTGGCGCTGAATGTCTCAGGTGGCACTGGAGAATGATGACAGCTGACAGCTCACTGTATGACACCATCCCCCCCATGCATCTTTCTCTCTCTCTTTCTCTCCCTCCTCCTCTTTTCTCACCCACTCTCCTGCATGCTGATCCTGTGCCAATAATAGCACGGGCACCTGTGTGGATAGCTCTACATTTATGAAAATCTCCCTATGAGGGCTTCATATGAGTGTGTGTGTGTGTGTGTGTGTTCCTCCTTGCACTCACTGTTCATTTCTCATTTAGCCTTTTATGGTGTCGCAATATTAGAATATCAATTCTTTCCGACACAACCTGAATCAATCAATCAATCAATCAATCAATCAATCAATCAATCAATCAATCAATCAATCAATCAATCAATCAATCAATCTATCTATCTATCTATCTATCTATCTATCTATCTATCTATCTATCTATCTATCTATCTATCTATCTATCTATCTATCTACCCACCTACCTCCCTACCTAGGAATTTTTGTCTCTGCTTTTTTACCAGTCTATCCATCTGTCTGTCTGGAACCTTTTCATTGATGGTAGTGGAACGTAGACTATTGATAAGAGTATAAAGACAACAGGGTCTTAAATTACACACTGAAATGTAATTGTCACTTAACTGAAGCTATACTGTATTAACCTACAAAGTCTACAATCTTAAAAACATGATAGCATTCTTAGAAGAAACAGAGCATCCTACATACTATTCTATAAAGTATCCTATCCTACAGTATTTGTTGAGCTGGTTTAAAGTCAAGTTTAAGCTCAGATATTGTGCAATGAGTTCACATGAACACTGTGACACAAACCTACAATTCCTTTCTTTCAGCCCTTTGTTTCTTTGGCTCCCTTCCTCCTGATAGGTCATGTTCATTTTTCTTTCACCATTACATTAATGAAAACCATTCACCACCTCATTCTTATTCAATTTGGTCCTCTTCCCCCTCTTTTTTTCATGTCTTGCGTCATGAATAAGTAAATGCGGTATTTGGTTTCTCCAGAGTTAATTATTTAAACGATAGTGATACAGGACTCAGTCCTCCTGGTGTGCGCAAAAGGAGAAAGAGAGCACCAGCCCATGTGTCAGTCCGTTTCCAAGCAACCGATGAGTATAGTCAGGCATCAGTAACATTCTAATGATGCCGCACATGAAGACTGAAAGTCATTTGCCCATAAAAAATGCTATCTGCTATTGTTGTCTGCAAATACGTCTGTGAATTTCACGCATGCATTATTGAAGCCTTAGAGTTGTTCGGGCTTGTTTACACCTCTCCGAACCACTGTAAAACAACATTCCACAGCCAGGTGTAGCGCAAGCCAAGTTGAGCTGAAAATAAGACTAGCTAATACGGCCGCTTTGAGTTAGTTTATCTTGAGAAATCCAATAAGTCCCGAGACTCGCAGTCAATCAATGACTGAATAAATGATTATTTGTAGACTATGGAGTCCTGGGTGTAATAGGGAGTTCTATTGATCTGTTTTATTGATTCGGATCTCATCTGCATCAGTAAGAAGCTGGTTAGTTAACACCGGGAAAATTTGCACAGACAATCTGAACTGACTAAATCGTTCATTTACATATTTCCTTATAAACAGGTTAAAAATTTATAGAGAAGGAAATATAATGGCTGGCCTCAGCGATTCATGACTTAACCATCAGACAAGGACACTGATTCACCTCACTGTGGGTGACACTGGCACCTGGCAGAAAGCGTTATTAATGACCAAGGAAATTCACCCTCAAGCCAGGCGTTAATTATATATAGAAATAGAGGTAGCGAGTGAAAGTGAGACAGGAGCGGGTGGCCTCGGAGCGGGTGATTGCCACGTTTCATGAATTCTTATGATCGCTCTCTTTTCTGATGGGCTGGAAAAGCTGCGTAGTTGAATTGGCCGTGGAATCCAATTGCAATTCCCACTCTGAAAACATTCCCCGACTGAGTGATCAAATTTGCGGCGTCATGTTCTTGAATGAGATGCCCTTGCTCTGCGTCTAGCATTACTTCCCCAAAGAAGCCAGGGAGAAATTAAAATCCGTAAGTAAATAGATGTTGATGAAAGACACAAAACAAATTGAGTCCCTGAAATTAAAATGAAATTCAGCGCCTCCTTTAATCTGTTCACGCTCCCCCGTCGCCCTTTACCGTAGGAGGATCTCCTCGCCCATAAATAACATCTTCGTACCCGGCTCACTTTGTGTGTTCGCTAGTTGTCTATTGATTTTTTGGGACCAGGCTCTGGTTGTCAGGTGCAGAAAGGGTCCCTTTAGCAGGAGCAAATGTTTCTGACAGCTCCAGAGGCTGTGCGGTGGCGTCCACTCACTGCCATCTGCATGAATCTCAACTGTGATTTATAAAAAGGCCACTTCCTGAACTCTTGAACACCTCTATGGAAAAAAAAAAAAAGATACAGTTTCTGGCTCAAAATACAGTATTATTTACTCCCATATATATATATATATATATTTTTTTTTTTAAAATAAAATTTTGGTTACCATAAGGAAATAAAGTAATTATTAAGTAATTATACAGGTTGGTTTAAAAAAAAAAAAAAAAAAAAAAAAAAACCCTGAAAAATGTTTTAATGTGAAAAATAAAACTTCAGAATGGCTTTTTTTTTTTATTTTACAAATATATATGTATGCATGCATGTATTTATTTTTTCCAGATTTTTACATGGATTAAGCCTTTTCTAAAATGGCAAAACTTTGGACCTGGATGTGTGCATGGAATACCATTATGAGTCATATATATATATATATATATATATATATATATATATATATATATATATATATATATATATATATATATATATATATATATATTTCAAACTCACAATTTAATAAGAATTATTAAGAATGAATTTAAAAAGTATTGTATAACTGTAATTGTTTAAATAATAATTGTTCAATAATATAACAGACTGTAATATAAGTGTTTCTTTTGCTTTATTGTGAACAGTGTTCAGGGAACCTTACACGGTTCGCGTGGCGGACCAAAGATCCATGCGGGGCAACGTGGCCGTCTTCAAGTGCCTCATCCCCTCTGCTGTGCAGGAGTACGTCAGTGTGGTGTCTTGGGAGAAGGACACTGTCTCCATCGTCCCAG